CCAAAGTGACATAAGGCTGCTCTGCAGTTGGGCAGAGTTGTTAAAGAGAATGAGAATCCTTTTCTGCCCAAGCCATGTTATTTTGAAACACAGGGACAAGGCTATTTGTAGGGAGAAAGAAACTCTCCCAGCAGTATTTTTCAGTGCTCTGTGCTGTTTTCTGTTGAAACAACAGATCTTTCAGAACATAACTATAATCAAGCTACCACCCTGTAATAATCTTTTGTCTTTTACATGTACTCTCTCACGTAGAATGTCTTTTGATCCATGGTGTGTACTCCCTGACCACCTCACAGAGCATTACTTCAAATGGTGTACTACACACAGTATCACCAATTTCCCTTACCCAGCATATTTCCAGCATTAGGATATTCCTGGACAAAGGAAGCCAGAATGATGAAAGAATATGATTGATATAGAAAATACACGATTTGAAATGGATTAAAAACCTAAATGCCATAATGTTTTATATATATGTGTGTGTGTGTATATATATATATATGTAAGATTAGCGCATTTAGTTTTGACATGCTAGAATAAGCTTGATCACCATATGAATAAAACCAGGTTTCTGTCAGGGTCCAGATGACTACTCAGCTTGTTGCCATCGTGTTTTGGAGTGGAACACCCATAGTTTTGTATTTCACGCAGGGATTGCCTGCAGCTGACGAAGACAGCAAGCCAAATTCTGCTCGCAGTTAACTGAGGTAAATAGAGTGGTGTTCCTGGAACCAGACCAGGCATGCTGGGCTGTCATCAGTTAACAGAGCACATAGTTAGACCATTGTCTCTCTTACTGAAACCAGCGTAGTCATTACTTGAGTAGAGTTTCTCCTGCTTTCATTAGTACAGTAGAGCAGGATTTGGTCTTCTGCCATCTTTCTTTTCTGAGCGCACAGGTTTTTTGGCTACAATATAAAAGCCTGTGAGAAAAAGGTTTTTTCATCTGAATGAAACAAGATTTTAAATAAAATTAACTAGACTGAAGGGGGAATGAGGCTTTCTGATAGTATTTTTAAAAATTGTTGAGTGTTTTCTTTCAGGAAAGATAGTTAATTTGGAATGAAAAAATTATATATTCTGCAAATACATTTATCTTGATGTATAGGCCCTCACTCAAGCAGCAAAAGCTTCTAACTGCCTGGTTTATAACTCCTTTAAATTTTCTTTTATACCAAAACTGTCTCTCTGGGCTTCTCATACAGAACAGGAGAATGGGTGTCCTGTCATACAGAAATTACTAGTTCAGACCACCTAAGGTTATTCCTACCACAGTGTTCTTTAGCCACTCTTCAGGTAATTCAAGATAATAGATTATTAAAAACAAACAAAAAAAGTCTATGTTGCTACTTTTAATGTTGGTACTGGTAATAGAAGTCCATTGACAATTGTATAGCCATGAAAATTTTCAAGTAAGTAAATCTTTTCACTTTTATTTTTGCAAATGAGCTCCCTAAAACTAAGTAAACCTTCACAATCCTCAGAAATATTCTTGATGTAAAAACATCATCTGATTTCTTTTACATGCAGAGGGCCATAAGCATTTTTAACATTGTTCACTATTCTTCAATCTATACCTGCCTTTTCATGTAGCTAAAATTCTGACAACTTTCATGCACTTAAAAATCACAAATGAAAACACTGGCATTACAAGTGGATGAAAATCTTTACTATCCTATCCAAAAGAGAAAAGAAACCCCAAACCCTTAAAAAATGTCACAGATTAGAAAAGAGAAGCCTTGGGTATGAGAAGAAGGGAAAGATTTTAATTAATTTCTTTTAATTGAATGAAGTACTTCAAAACCATTGTAATGTATAAGACATGGATTCTAATAGGATTCTTTTTTTTCTAGTGAATTGGAAAAAACCTTAAGAAGAGAAGCAGAGTAAATGGGGAGAAAAGGCAAAATGAAGAGCAGGAGAGGTAAGATGAATTACACAGGGGATAGATAATAAGTATTGGGCATTGTAGCAACCAAACAGAAAAAAATGGATGAACAAGTAATGAAAAAAACTTAGAGGCAAACAAATGTAACAAGCTGGGAGGTATGGGGCACCAAAGAGGAAATCAGGACCTCAGAAACAGCTCCTACATCAAGAAAAAGACTATTATGCTGTGTGCCTTATTTAAACATAACTGCTCTAAGATAGTAACATAGCTGTAGAAGTTCAAAGGTCAGTAGAGGATGATAATTCTGGAGAAGTGGTCATACACTCATGCAATCAGCCTGTGCCAACTACAGTGTTAGCATTCAGATTAGCTAGTTAAGGTCTATTTCAGTTGAAATTATATCACTGACTGCAGTACATCCATCTATGTGACAACAAATAGAAGTTCTTTCCCCCTTAACTTCACCACACAAGAAAAGGAAGTAAAAAAACAAAAAAGCTTATGAAAATCTGTTATCCTGTAATTACTCTTTTTCCCAGCATGCCCTTCTGGAACGGGACCTTTTAAATCCAATAGTTAATTCATCCAGAAGCCATTTTGATGACATCATCTTTACTTTAAATGTAAGTACCCTTCATTTTTATGATCTCATTGATTTTGCCTTTTCTATTACTGCAGAGGTGCATTCTCATAGAGAACTGGTCCTGTGAGAAAAAAGTGGTGGACTTGCAGAGCTTGAAAATTAATGCCTTGGATAATATGAGCTTTGAGGAAGATCAAGACTATAGAATTTTGTGGACACTCTGGGCTGGTTTAGAGACTAAGTTTACTTTGGGATCCTGATGTTAATGGCTTTATTACTCTTCTAAATACGTACGTTGTTAGCTAGTTGTAAATAATTTTCTTGAGAAAATGGTTGCAGTGTGCTTCCTAGATCTTTATTCCTAGACACTTATTTTTTGCTTGTTTTTTACCTGGAAAAACTAACAAGTAAATGTTTACAAAATGAGGAATGTGTGTCTTCAGTTTTACTCTGTGCTGTTTGTGGCTGAAGAGCTTGATAAGAAACTTGAAGTCTTTTATTTTCTTCTAAGAATTTGTTCAATGGCAGTTTTGTTGTCTGTGCTTAGCTTGGTCTACAATGATACAGAGATAGTGTAAATCTTGCCCACAAGTACTGGAGGAGCCACAAACATCAGGAGTATGTTCTATTATACCTTCAGAGAGTTATGGGGAAGGGGTGGTGGCAGCGAGGCTTTGTAGCATCTGCTGTGAACTCAGCAGCAGTAGCAAGTGCAGAGTTGGCCAAACTGGTTTCTAATCACTTAGCAGGGACTTCAATTAAAAAAAAAAGTGGGGTTGGTTTTGGTTTTGGTTTTTTTCCTTCTTGGAAACCTTCTTATGATTAACTCAAATTTGAATAAGGAAGTGTGTGTAGGAGAAATCAAAGCTCTTGTTCCTCTGCTTTACATAGCAGCTATCAATATTTTCCTCATGCTACATAAAGCCAAGTGATCCTTTTAGCCTTTTTTCTGATAGCTTGCCCTCAAAAAGTCAACAAAAGAATAAAAATGAAGCTTTAGTACATTTTAAAGTTCCTTCAGTCTTAGTATTTTTGCTATTTTACACTATTCTACTGTTGCAATGTTCTGCTCATTCAGTTCAGAGTACTTCTCAGGCAAATATGATATTCAGGAGGGGGAAAGTATGTCCTAAATCTTGGTAAATGTGTACTCTCTTTACCCTCCATTCATTTTTGTAAGGTTTAAATGTAATTACTGAAGTTTACAGTATTAAAATAAATGCAGATATGAACATTGCAAATATTGCCAAAACTCAACCAGCCTTTCGGCTGTCACTTCAAAATGAGGGCAAGGTTCTGCAAATATTTGCTTCCAAGCTCCTTTTAAATTTTTTGGCCGCCTTTTGTATTTCTTTATGTAACTGTAGTTTAAAAAACAAATGAAAAAGCTGTGGTTCTGAGCTAAAATGTATAAAGATTTGCTTGGTTTTGCATTTATATATTTAGTAAAAATAAAATGCATTATTTTATTAAAACTTTAATTAATTAATAAAATTGTAAGCAAAATACAATATCGCTTACAAGCACAGTGCTTCCAAGTTGAAGAACATTTGCTGATTAGCTCCAGTGAGGACCAGTAACAAGATGCTGTAGAGCTTTGGTTTCACTATTATATGGAACTTTTCAATTATGAATTTAACAGTTAAAATATACCTAAATGTTATAACTTTAACTGCTCCTTATAAGCAAATGTGGAAAAACTACTGTATGATGGGTAAGGTGTTGCCCTGATATTCAACAGCTCATAGACTGACTTCATTATTCAACTAGACACTCAAAGGTTTTACAGAAGGTCATTGAAATTCTGTTACTCTTCTCAAAATGGAATTTTGTTCCTGAAAACAGGAGGGCTACAGTGATAAATTTATTAACATATGTTGTGAGACAGCATTCATTATTTAGCCCAAGATGTAAGGAATAATACTTATAAGCAATTCTGACATATTTTTTTGATACTAGAAAGCCTTCCTGTCTTTTGCATGTACTAAAATTTATCCTTAATCTTTACATTTATGTTTTTTTTCCCCAAGCTTCCACCAACACAGATTTTTATGAAAATAACAGATGCCAAGTTTATATAAAGGCTAATTTCTCTTCCAGATGACCCACTTATGGTATGTACCAGTGTACTACAGTGATCCCATAATCATCTGGCCAATGCACATGTTCACTGCATTGTACAGCATCCCACAAATTCTGCAGACTTACTGAGAGAACCACAGCTGCCTGACCACACTGCCTACAGCATCGCTCAAGAGAAATATTATGGATAACAGCCTAATGGCTTTCCTTAAATATCTTACCAAATAAACATCTCTCCAGTAAATCATATCTCAAATTTAAATAGACAGTATGGATAAATGAAGACTTTTCATTTTCTCAAATAAGAACAATATCTTTGATAAGTAGACATGATCTGGTTACATAGTCTCTTTCAGGTTAAGATCATTTTAATATTGTTTTGCATTCACTACTTCAGCTGCCTCTTCCTATATGATGCTTATTATCAGAAAAGCAAGCAATTACCGAGACAATCTCGTCCTCTGCCGGTACAGTTGCTGCTGATAGTGCTGCTGCCAGTGCTGCTGCCCTGGCTGCCTTCCTCATTGCTCTCTGAGTCTGAAGATTGGTAAAGTAGTTGACAGCTGCAAACTCAATAAGTGCAGAGAAGACAAAGGCAAAGCACACAGCTATGAACCAATCCATGGCGGTAGCATAGGACACCTTGGGCAAAGAATGGCGTGCACTGATGCTTAAGGTGGTCATTGTTAGAACTGTAGTGATTCCTTGAAAATAAGAGAAAGAAATGGGGCATTAGAACTTTGCTTCAACCCTGCTACTCTTAAATTCATATATATTTAAAAAAAAAAAAAAGAAAATCCAACAACTCCTTTTTGGTTTTAGCTGTCATCCTACATAACAGCTAACCACCAAGACTGCTTTTTGTATTCTTAAATAACTCATGTATACTGGCTTAAGCATCTAAAAGTTCTAAACGAACTTCTTTAATACATTGAGCAGACTCACAATTAAATAACTACATACTACATGATGCACCTTCTTAGAACTGTGATAAACATGGGTATATCAAAACTCAGGCTCAAACTAGGAAAGACGCTTCCTTTACTTGAGGGGTTAGTACGTGGACTGTTTGGCAGAAACCTAGATTAACAGACTGCCATTTCCCAACAGTGATCCCCTCTTTTCTCCTGTTGTTACACAAGACAGATCGTGGCTTACAGAACCTTCACTGAATCAATCAAATTCTGCATTAAAAATCAGTGGTAGGCTATGGTCCAAATATTCAAAGTAACAAGAGTTTGGTTCTCTGTGCTATCGCCTTTCATCACTGGATACTTTATTTAAGATTCACTAACAGTACCTTGATTTGAAGGCCCCCATAGTTACAAATATGGAAGGACAGAAAAGCTACTTCTCTAGAGCTGCTTATCTATTTTCACAAATCTAGTCTTGTTGCTCATGGGCCTCATAGTGTTCTTCAAGTGAATTCCTGAATTTATTCTTTCTGTTTTGGAGTGTATAGCATTAATAATGTAGGAAATATACCTACTCCTCACTGTTGCCTCTTACAAGCAAAAAGTGCAAGAACAAACTCATTAACATATAAGCCTCTGTGACTCATGTTTACTTATAATTATGCCTGCTAGAATGTGAAAACTGCTGGTATTTAAAGACATTAAGGTGGAGAATAGCCTCTTCTGCTTTTTTCTGCAGTTAGGAATGGGTAGGTGGGAAAGCAAAAGATGTTATAATGCCATGTTGTGATGATGAATCAATATGCTATGAATGATGCTCAGTGGAAAGGATGCAGTGTCATTGCATATTGCAGCATCAAGACAGGGTGACTTGATTATTTTCAGAAGGTTTTTTGCAACTCTTTCACATGATGTAGCTTGCCAGCTGTCTGAGGTTAACTACATCCCAATGTCATTGCTTAACATGTTTTAATGAAATGCAAATAGGAGATAGCATAAAAATACGTAGGATCTCTACTTTTCCCAAATCTGCCAGCCTCATTTTATAATATGAATACAAGTGTGCTGAGATATATTGCAGTTTCAAAGGTCCAGAATGAACTTTTCAATATGATGTGTGATTAGATTAGAATTTGTCCATGTGCTAGTTAGTAATAAAAATGATATATTCTGTGTCTGAATAAAAACTTACTACAGTGGGAATTTAAACTTAGGAATAGGACTCCTATTCTATTGCAGCTATAGATAAGACTTCTCTCAATGTGGAATGAATATTGATGAAATCCTCTGCACTGTGGAAAACTACTTTATCAAACTGAATGCCAAATTACAGTTGGTAAACTGTGTAACTGATGATTGTTTACCCTTGTCTTTCCACTTTGAACACTCCTTGGTAAGTTTTGAAGAATCTGTTACATAATGCAAATAATGAAATATGTTATCTTTTCCTGCTAAAAAATGAAACAACAACAAAAAAACCCCAAGCTCCTTTGCTGTCTGAGACTAGATATTAATTTAAAATTCCTAGGGTGACCTGCTGGGAAGGTAGAAGCTGACTGCTACCTTTCTGCAAAATAACAGATGAACTTTTTGCTAGCAACAAAAAAGATTAGATAAAGGCACATAAAAATGTGAAATAATAGCCACTGCTATTTGGAGTCAGAGCACACTCAAAATTAGACCTCCAGTAACCATGCTTCGTATTCTAAGTTATTTCTGATATTGCCATGCTTCTTAAAACTTCACACATATATATACGTATGTATGTGTATGCATAGCTACATACATAGTTCCACATTAAATAAGTAACTTAATATTAGCTACCTGCTGTTCTTTCCAAGGGCACAATTATAAGGAACACAAGAGTCTCTTCAAGTGTTTTTTCACTTGCAGGTCTGTAAAGAGTAGGTACTTATGATTGTTAATTTATCTTTGCAAAAATGTTCAGAGTATTTATTGTAGTATTACAATTACAATAATCCTGCAAAGGATAATTGTCATCCATTTTGGGGGTAAATATTGTTGCTAAATTTATTTGTTCTGAAAAAATGGTTTGTGCACATGGTTGTTATTCTTCTGCTCTTAATTTCTCTTGTCTCAAACTTACAGTTTGGGAACTCAGAAGTAAAACTAAAAATTTATAAATTCAAGTAATTGCAAAACAATAAAGACAGGATACTGACTTCTCCATTTTAAACCAGTTTGTTTGGTTGGTTTTTTTTTGCTGGGGCCTCAAAGTCTTTTTTTGTTATATGGAATTTGTCTTCCTTAGATGAAGCTATTCAGAGTCCATGGGATTTTGAATTAGTAAGGACTATAAATTCAGATTGTGCCTGGGAGAAATAGGAATGGAGCAAGGATTGAAATATTCTTTTAAAATGCACCATGACTAATTTTTCACAATACTGAAAAAGGTGTCTATTTTACTATTTTAATAAAATATAATCTGTTTCTAATTCTATGTTTACCCTTCAGTATGATATCCAAGAGCTGTTATTCCAGGGTTTAGGGTCTCTGTGTTTTTGTTACTGGATCAGCTAAAGACATATTTGCACATTACTTCAAGCATAAAGAACTGACTTCCACTCCCCAGTAGGCAGCAAATATGTTTTACTCAAAATGTAGAGGATGTTACTGTGAAGTCCAGAGATGCAATATAAAGCCAAATCAGGTACCATCATGTTTGGTGTACAAACCTCCAGTATATTTTACGCTTCAATTGCAAAAAACATCCTTGAAAATCTATTGCCTGATATTTTCATATTTTTAAGCATTTAAAGAAATCCCAATTGCCAGATAATAATACTTTTAAGTGCTTAATGATCCCAAACTGCATCCTAGCTCCTAATGAGAATTTCAAGAACAAAAGTGTTGATCTTCCTTAAGAGGCACCTGAGGAAGTTCTGTTCACTTCGCATTCCTAAAAGTCTGCAATGCTTTTATGAATACCATCCCATTCAGGTAGGAAACATCAACTGACTGAAATAAAACAGAAAAAATCTGTAGCCTGCTAACTACAATTATACACTAATTTTTAATTATGACTTGTATCAATTTATGCTTAAGGAATATATAGCTGACTTTTTGTTAGTGAAAACAAGTCTTACAAAGGGATTTTTTTCAATAGAAATACTATGTTAAAAGAACATAGGATTGCAAAATATATATGTATGGATAGTGGATTCATGAAGTTTTTGACAAGTTTTATTACTTTTGCTTAGTATTTTTCTGATCGATTTTCTAGAAACAACAATTCAGTTAGTGAAAGTTACCCCTTAACAACGAGTGCAGTTTTAGAGCCCTATCAATACTGAATTGGCAGGGTTTGTCCAATTTAACAGAAGAGCACACAGTAAAAATCAAGGAAACAAAACTCACAGCTTTGGGAGCATTAATTCAAACCACTGGAAAGAATGTGCAATATGGACATGCCTTTCATATTACAGCTCCAACCTGTGCTAGGGACAGAATTCCTCTCACTTTACTTTATTCATCTAAATTCCTTGCTAGTTGTTTAGATAACTGTGTAGACAAGGGGAAGAGAAGACTTGAGAATAAGTGCTAGATGAGGTACCTTATGTCAGATGAGATTAATTCCATCCTATGTGATTTATTTTTTTCCTAAAGCTTTAACTCAGATTGGTTTCAGAAGCTAATAAATCAATAGAAAAATACTTTAAAAATTAAGAGGTTGACCTTTACTCTGGAATCATCCCTTCCTGCACAAAGAAAATATATTGAGAAGAAAAACATCACAAACAAGTCTGGTTAACCAAACATTCTGAGTAAAGAATTTTGATCCATGTGGGGAGGTTGAATATCATTTGGTTTAATTTTAGTATTTACTTTTGTTCACTGAAACCTACTAGCTATCTTTTCCAATCCCCACTGGATTACAGTTGCTGTTTGATGCAATGGATTCCATACAGTGAATGAAGTGAAAGATGAAAGAACAAAACACAAATACCAGCCACAGTTCTTGCTGGAACAGATTCTTTGTTGATCCAAAACACAACTTGAGACAGGACTACAGTCATGATGCATGGAATGTATGTCTGAATGAGATAGTAGCCTATTTTCCTTTGAAGATGGAAATAGAGCAGCTGAAGTGAATATTCGCCTAAAACAAACAAGCAATGAAAGTAATGAATTAATGGTATACGTGATGCTGAGCTGTTCAAAGACCTTAACGCAGCGTACCAAAAACTGTTCTGGCTGGAACAGACTCCTTGTTAATCCAGAAAGACACCTGAGAAAGAACCACTGTCATAATGCATGGAGTATATATCTGTATCATGAAGTAGCCCATCTTCCTTTGCAAGTGGAAATAAACTGTCATGATTACATATTCACCTGTTAAGAGACAAGTTTGTAAGCATTATTTTGGCAACATATGAGTAAGCATTATTGGCTTAAACCCAACATGCTATGTTCTGGGGAAAGCACTTACAGGCCTTCTGGTGCATAATAAAAATAAGCTGATTAAAAAAAGGTAACTGACCTTATAAAAACAGAGGAGAATAATATTCATTTTATGTATTGCTTTTACTGGGGCAGGGAGGCAGTGGGAATTCAGAAGAATTGCATGAAAAATTGTATGCTTTAACAGACCGTATTGAAAATCTTTTAAGAGAAAATGGTTAGAGTCCTTCCAAAGATTTTACATGGCAAATGATAATCAAACTAATTTAGTTCTACATGAAAAAGAAGTGTGATTTATTTTCAAGGTGTTTATAATGTCACTAGTTCTCACACGGCTACGTCTTACCTGTGTTAGATTTAATTGTTTCGCTAGACACAGTTTGTCCGATGAGGTCATACTGGAGGAGACTGGAAGACTCCTGTGGTACTTCTACTGAATGCAGGGGTCCTTTTTTCCATGTATAAATTATTTCACTTTTTGGATAAGCATCTGAATTATAGAGGGGGAAATTAAATTATTAATTATGTAATCTGTAAGTAATTGAAAAAGTGCATGATCCTGTTTGTGGCTTGAATACCTACAGCAACATATATCCTGCTTCAACAAGTTCCTAACCTCATTAATGGCAAAATGCAAAAAAAAATCAGCAATAAGAGAATGGCTGAGATGGGACCCCATAAGACACCAACTTTTGTTTCTTAATTTGCTATGAAACACATACATAGATCACCACAGCTCAACTAAATATTTTCAAAATGGATTATCACAGATCAACGAAATGTTTGCAAAACTAAATGTAGTAAACGTACCACAGCTTTTATGACTTGCTGAATGACCCACCTTGACAACTAGATGTGTAAGAATAATAAACAATAAAATATGTTACAACAGTCACCCTTCAGTGATTAAATCCATTTCCTTATGAATAGTTTGAGTCTCGGAGAAGAAAGTAAGATTCTAGTATAAGAAATATACAATATATTTCAGCTACGTCATTAAGTAGTGTTCTAGGATCTCACTTCTGATCTTCTTACGTACATGTAGACCAAATGTATTACTATAAAAAACTGAAAGATATGGAAAAACTTACAGCTTCCAAACTTCAATGGACAAGCATGTCCATCCATAGGGAAGTTCACCAACCGCATAGGACAATCAGCATTAATGGTTAGTCTAGAATACATTATAGTAGATGACAATGAAAAAAAGTGGTATGTGGGATCACTGCTGAAAGACTCAAAAAGAAAGGTCAACGAAAAGCAAAAGAACAGGCTCTCACCTCATTGTGTAAAGAATAGTTCCATTCTGCATAATTCTGAAAAGTTTGTTAGGAGTTGTCATATTATGAGCAATTGATTTTTTTCCATTTCTAAAAAATGTGTCTGGTGTCCAAATTTTACTGACCATTAAATTGTTCAATCTCAAAATTTCAGTTGGCCCACTAAACTTCAACCTCTCATCGGTCCATGTCTGCCGAAAGAAAACATCCATTGTGTATTCCTATGGAAAACAAATAGGTGGTTGGCTTATGTCTGGTGGTCACCCAGTCCCAAGTTGCTGTATATACCGTAACTCCATGAAAGAACCGAACGCACATGTCAGTGGCATTTCATTTACTACTTAAACACTTAATCCTATTACCATAAAGTAGCTACTAAAAAAAAAAAAAAAAAGCGTGGTCTAGAGAAATATTTTCTTTTCATCTAAATAATAGTTACAAATTAATGAGTGAACAAATAATTTTATATGAGTAAGGGAAAAAAAAATCTTTGTCCTCTCAGAAATAATAATTTAATTCAAACTGACTGAGATCTAAGGAAATACAAATGTCTAATTTAGTATCCTTTCAAAGTGCAAAAACAATCAATGTTTAATTGCTAGGAACAAAAAGACATGTTCAGTGCCTCTTCTGCATCTTACTTTGGATATTGACAAAGAAAGGACTGATATGAGTCACATCACAGTAGGATTATGGTTAATATTAATCTAAGGAGTTCTCTAAAGTTGTTTAGGAAATGGAGATAAACCTTGGCTGGAAGCAAATTTTGTAAGGCATCAAGGTTATGCCTTCCCTTAGATTGACTGATGGAGAGAGGTGGAAAACCTTTTTGTTGTATCTTGGTGCCACAGTTCCTAGCCTGCAAACTGGACTGCAGGCACAGGTTGGCAGGTATTGGAGGAAACATACAACAGCAAAAACAGCCATCAGAGTTGATTTCCAGAACAAGAACATCAATGCCATCCTCACTCTGATGGCTCAATGTTTTCCGGGGCGGGGGTGGAAGAGGGGTGCTGCTGCTGTAATTGACAGACTTAACCCATGTCTGCAGCCACATGACTTTGGGGGGACCCAGCATGACAAGGGACAGGTGTCTCAGACATGGCACTGAGCTGTACATTAGGTTGTCTCATACCACACAGCCTTGATGGTGTTGGGCAAACCTATGTGTTGGGCCACAGATGCTTACAATCTTCTTAACGAGGTTAAAGTGGCATTTTTGACCTCTCATCAGTGCCCTCACCTGTGGCTAGTGTTGCATTCTGTGCCCAGCCTCGGGCCTGGGCCATGCCCTGGCTGACTCTGCTGGAGAAATATCTATATGCAGCTCCAGCCAAACCACTCTGCTGGACTCGAGAGATTGTCAAGAAGATTAAGCCTCATAATCTGCTTTAATGACGGTCAACTCAGATGGCACCGTAATGAATCCCGGGAAAGCGAAGCAGGGGTGGCAAGCGGGGCCCTTACCATCTCCACGTCGGACACCGGCCCAAAGCTGGTCACGTAGATGTCCGTTTTGACTTCAGTCACGGCGCCTGCGGGACACAGAGACGCGCTGGGCACGGAGCTGGACCCCTCGAGGCACCAGAAAGAGCCGGCGGGCTGGGAGCTGGAGGGGCGCGGGACTTTGTCCTCCTCCGCC